AAGCTTGCAGGCTGGTAACCGACGTCAATGGCACACCTGTTGCGAGACTCTTATTCGTTGATTTACATTTTAACCGTTTTCACATCTCTTTCTTCATATGTTGCGGCACATCTGCCAATTCTATGTAATTGACTGCGTGTTAAATGTATATAAATTTTTAAAGAGAAACGGGACAAAGAATGTTCCACCTGCTTGTGGTTTGAGGAATACAAGTCGGATGTTATGGTGAAGCGATCGATAAGCCGATCACCTTACGGGGAATTTAGGCAGAGATAACGAAGCGCTGCCGTACACATAACCACGCCATTTGAGAGTTGAGCGAATCTGCGCTGTGCAAGTGGTTCTGAGTGAAAACCATCTAGCGCGGATTAAGAAACTAATTTTGTTCACAACCAGAAGGAAGTGCGGAAATGCAGGAAAACCTTGAAGGAGTGGGGTGGAGTTAAGACAAGGACCTACGAGAAAGCACGAGTTTATGGAACTGAGGGAGAAAAGTTGATGTTCGTGTGAACCCTAGGATCTTCTAGGAAGCTCCGCGTTTTGGAAGCCAAAATGAAGATGTAATCGTGGTTGAATGTGAGGAAGACTGTGAAAGCACAACAATCGGGATCACTGTTGAAAGTGGTGGATCAGGAGTAAATATAAGAAACACTATACTGTTTAGTGGTATTGTTATTTTATATGAACACAGTTCGCCAAAATTATATTTTATTTCTGAGGAACTACCACTAGCACTACAAGATATAACCGGTTTAAGTATGTCTTCTATTTCGATGGGACCAATGTAAAAGCAATAAAAGCGTTTGCTGGATTTTCAAAGAGTGTGATGTTTCTTTTGTCCCGAATTCATTACTGTAGGCGGAAATAGAAGCCACCAATCGGGCAATTACAATCGCGGACTCAGCCAAATGTCCACTTTATGTGGTGAATGTGATGAGCGCGTCCGCGGCACGTTCGATTGCGGAAGCACGTCGTCAAGGTTGCATGGTATCGGGCGAAACAATCGCAGCGGCCCTGGGCACTGATGGTCGGAATTACACGAACTCATCGTGGAGCCATGCGGCTGCTCATGTGATGTCTCCACCACTGCGTCCGAATCCGGAGAATTCTCGCGAACTGATGCGTTCGTTGGCCGCAGGCGAATTGGATTGCGCAAGTAGCGATCATTGGGTTTTTCGAGTGGATCAGAAAGCTCTCGGGAAGGATGATTTTCGTATGATTCCGAACGGCTTAAATGGTGTGGAAGATAGAATGTCGGTTGTGTGGGAAAAAGGAGTAGTAAGTTGGCGTTGAAGTTTCTTCCTTTTAAATGAAAGTTTCCCATCTGAAACACCACTTTTGTTTGCACGAACATTTGGTTCACAAGGCTGTTGTGAGTTACTTTTTCCCTTTCATCACCGTTGAACTAAATGATTCTTACGAAGGCTGGTTTGGTTTTCTGCTGCCAATCGTACTGGATCCATGTTCATGTTTGTCCTTAATAATTGCGCTACACCGCACACTGTGTTCCTGTTCTCATTTCATTTTCTTTCCGAATAAAACTACTGTTCGTGCATACATTCAGCTGACATTCAGTGAGGAAAACGTACGATGCACATCTATGAGAAAGTTTCATTGTTTGTTGTTCACAGTCAACCGCATCATTTTTCACCGCCAAACTTCGTTTTGTCAGTTTAGCTAAGAGCTACTTCAGACCCAGTGTTGTCCACGAATCATTTACCACATTTCCTTCTCATTTTTCGCTCTTCTTTACCGTACGCTATCAAAACATCAAGATGACCGGCCTGATTGATCCATGCAAGTTTGTGGCAATCACCAGCACAAACGCTGCCAAGTTGTTCAATCTGTACCCTCGTAAAGGCCGCATTGAAGTGGGCAGTGATGCGGATATGGTGATCTGGGATGGTGACCAGACACGTACGATTTCGGCCTCAACGCATCACCAAAATACGGACTTCAATGTGTTCGAGGGTATGCGATGTCACGGAGTGCCACTGTACGTTCTAACTGGCGGCCGCGTCGTGCTGGATGACGGAGAACTGCGAGTGAGCCAGGGTGCCGGACACTTCATTCCTACGCCTCCTTTCGCACCTCACGTGTATGATCGAGTGAAGCAACTAGACTTGGTTAGTGTGTGTTAATGTTTTTGTCTTCTGTCATTTTTGTTCATGCCATAATGCGCAAACCAGTTTTCCGAGTGACACGTTTTAGTACATTAGTCACACTCCTGGATTGATGTAAATCAATCTGATGCTATGTAGTGCAGTATTTTATATCGATAGAGTGTGGTGCAAAAACCATGAACAGTTACAATCGAGACTGCATAATAGCACTGCGCAGAGCAGACAAGTTAATTTGCATTTGGCTGGAATAGTATTTGCGCCATACAACACACGGTTATCCTTTCTATTTGTCGAACATGATAAAATAAGACTGCAGCCGGAATTGGTGATTCAGTATTCTCATACTAGACGACAAATTCCCGTTTGTCGGAGATAACGGTTTATCATCGCCATTACCACTTCGCTCACGAACTTCACAACTGTCTATTTCATTTTTAATCTATGTTCATCGACTTGTTCGACCGACAGATCTAGAGTCAGTAACTTGAAGCTTCAGCACAAGATTAATGGTTGCCCAAAACATACTTACTTAGTCACTGCTTGAGGGTTAACCGTCTCCATGAATGTCGCCAGGTCCTCACATATATGCATTGGACCAGCTCGTTTTTCACTAATGGTTTCTGTACGCCATCCGAAAACCAAGTTGGTCTACGTCTTTCGATAACAAAACGAAATTAGCCGTTATTTTCTTAATCATGAATTGACAAGACGAAGTAGGATTCCGTGCTCATTTACCTAATTTCTTGTGCTTACATCTCTGCTCCGGGTTGTAACCAATGGATTGTGCGCAATTACATCACATGGCCAGTTTTATTTTGGTTGACACTATCAATTTCCGATAGTTTCTTTTCCTGATAGCGAACTATGAACCTGGTGCTGATTCCTTTTCGTATTTATGCAGCCTCCAGGAAACCGGATACTTTCCGTTCAAATTCCCGCTGTTCACGGTATAAGACGCTTTGTTCTATTTTTCCCGCCCCGGAGAATTGGTGCCATTTTCCTACTCCGTTGTTCGCATTCATCTCCCACCGTCCCTCTTTTGTTCTACACAGTCTCGTGCGGTTATTCCGATAAAACGTGAACCGTATTCGGGCCCAGTATCGACCGAGTTTGTTCCACCGGAGGAATCGAAAACTGAGGTTAACGGAACTCAGAAAGGAGCACCCGGCCCCGACGGTGATGGACTCCGGACGCGATCCCCGACCCGCGCAGGCGGTCGAAATATGCAAGAGTCCAGTTTCTCTCTGAGCGGTACGTGGGCTGTCTGATTTCCATCCTCGGATTGTTGTTACTGTCACCTGTGTTCTGTCTCTCTCTGTGTATGTGCGTGTGTGGACAGTTTAGTCTTCGCACACAGTCCTGTTCTTCCACTTTGGTCTCACAATTACCCCCTAGACACAGACGCGTTCATCATAATGAGATTCAGCACTTCCATTTGAGCTAGCCACTCCTCAGTGGGGTTAACCGAACGCAGTGGGATGAAAATGTTATTTTGTGAACAGGTAACAGGCTCGTGTCAACCGGTGTCCTCACGATTGCGTCTGTATTTCTGTGTGGAATGTTTAGGTCATTTGCTGTGCTCAGTGACCCCAGTCGACCTATGTGTATGTGATTGTGTTAACCGTAAGTTGATGATTTTAGCTGACCTCTTTGTGTCACAGTGAAATTCACGTAACTCACCGTCCTCGATGATTGCACCTGTCGAACATGGATAGCGTAAAAAGTGTGCAATCTGCTAGAGTCATTTATCACTGTATGATGAGTAATTGACAGGTGGGTAGTTACGCATTTGACCTTGTTTTGCGATCGATTATTTGCAAACGAAATACTGTTTGATTGGACTCGTTTATGAATCACTCGAAGTAAAACTGATCATCCCCTACCGCCGATTATTCAGAAGCATGAAGCCTCAGTTTTCAGTTTGCACAACCATTAACCATGCACTATCGTGCGCCGGTTTTGGATGCAATCTTTCGGCTACCCATTTGGATGAACATTAGGAGAAAGACAGGAAAGTTTGAAAGTAGAATCGAAGAGAAAATTCAGGATTTCAGTGCAGAGAAATCGACAAGATACACGAACGCCACTGTTCACGACACCCATCCATATCACTCAGTGTCTCTAACCATCGGGTACGACCATTCCGAGGTCCCCATCCAGGGAGCCTAACGGGACCTGTGTGACCTAGACTCCTGGTTAGGGTTTTCATACCGTCATGCCAAGTCTTAGCTTGATCACCCTTGGCTTTCTTCCACCCACTACCTGCCTCGGCAAACATCGTTCCCCGTGGCAACCTCTTTGTTGACATGCGTAACACATGCCCCAACCAGCGTAATCTATGGAGGTCGACTACTTGCTCCAGTGCGCGGCCGCAATTGCCTAAAACTTTTCACCTGACCTCAGCATTGCTCATCCGGCTACCCCACCAGATTCGTGCAATGCTGCGTAGACAGCGATGTTCAAACACCGACAGTCTATCTTTTTCCTGTTTTTTTAATGGCGAAGTTTCTGCTCCATATAACAGAACTGGCCGAACTATTGCAGCATATGCTCGGCCTTTAACAGACAGCCGGATTTCGCGACGGCACCACAGATGTCTCAAGTTGGCTCTATTATTTCCCCAGTTAGAGTGAGGTTGGGTGCTTGACCAACCCAATCTTCTAGTAGCATTTTACACTTTGAAGGTGCAAAACGCATGCCGAACACTAGCACTCAAATTTTATAGAAAAGCTTGTAACTTACTTGGATCTTCACTTAGCAGCACAATGTCGTCTGCGTACTCCAGATCAGACAGCCTGTCACCTGGAAGTAAATCGATGCCACTATCCTCGCACGAGGACACGGCTGTTTCCATAGTCAAATCTGTAAAAAAGGCAAGGAGAAAAAGAGAGAAGGGGCAACCCTGTCGAACACCACTTTCCATGGTGAACTTAGGTGAAAAAGTGCCGTAAGCTCGGACTCGGCTTCGGCTGAGTATAGAGAGATCGTAATCTTGAAATAAACTTCTCAGGCACACCTTTCAGAGAAAGACAGCGCCAGAGTCTAGAGCGGTCAACTGAGTCGAAGGCCGCTTTAAGATTCAGGAAGGTAGAGATGGTGGGTCTACGAAAAGAATGTCGGAGCTCCAGAGTTTGGCGAAGAGTGAAGATGTGGTCGATACAACCTCGACCAGGCCTAAAACCAGCCTGGTTCTCACGCGTGCACGCTTCACGTGCGGCAGACAATCGACGGAGTATGCTACCGGCGGGGAGTTTAAAGATGATGTTGATTAAACTAATTCCTCTGTGGTTTTCACGCGAGAATCTGTCACCTTTCTTGTAAGTCGGTTTGATGCCCGATTCATACCATTCAGCTGGAACCTGTTCCCTCTCCCACACACAGCCTAGGAGTTTCGTTAACTCCGAAACCAATGCTTAACCTCCATCCTTAAAAATGGATGGGGAGAGTCCGTCTGGGCCGGAGGCCTTATGCCTTTTGATAAAGCTTATTTCCCGAGAAACGTCCATTTCAAATGGAGGACTGGTATCAACTGGCAGAATTTGCGCAGTTGCGGTGGAGAGTAACAGTTCAGATGTCGATGGGAGCCAGTTTAACTGAGCCTCGAAATGTTCAGCCTATCGATCAAGACGGCGTTGTTGAATCAGTGTGCCATTGGATTCCTTAATTACCTCACGCTTATTTTCCTAGGACTCGTATTCCCAATTAGACGTGCACAGTTGGCTACTGACTGGAACCCATTCGAGAAGCAAGCGTTCAGCCTTGGCAGTTGGCGCAATCCCGACACCAGCAACACCGCGAGCTTCGGACGCCGAAGAGTGAGGTTGAGGTTGGATCAGGAGGACGCAGGGAGATAATGGAAGTGGAGTCTTGTATGCATGGTTGGGAGACAACATACATCTAAATTGAAAGTTTCAAGGGTTCTAGCCAATGCAGCTTGTTG